ACCGCCACCCCGAACACGAGCGCGATGTCGTCGCGGTCGTAGCCGTACGACGTGGCCCAGCCCGAGGCCAGCTCGGAGCCGAACTGGACCCCGGAGCCGCGGAGCGTGAGGGCCGCTGCCGGCCGGCCGCCCAGGAGGAGCGTGGTCGTCGCGACCAGCACGACGAGGGCCAGAAGAAGCTGCTGGGTGCCACGCGTAGAAGAAGAGGGTGCCATTCTTAGGTCGTCGATTCGTTGACCTGTCACGACTCGTCAGGCAGTGACGGTTGTCAGATGATGGCTCTGGTTGGTCGCTTTCGATCTGCCAGGTTCCGCGAGGCACGCGTGATGAGAAGAATAATAAAGAAGATAAAAAATGAGATAAATAGCAAAAATGGTAAAAAGAAAGAAAGAAAAAATAAGATGAAGAGGATTTGTAAAAAAGAACGAAGAACGGCGCGGAAACGAAGACGCCCCAAATAAAAAAAAGAGGTGTTGCAAAATCGCAAAGATGCGTTTCCAAGAGGGCTTTGATTCAAGTTTTTGTTTTGTGTGATAAAAAACGAAACGATGGAGATGATGATGTGCCGTGCTTACCTTGACGAATCGAGATCGAGAGGACCAGAGAGGCTACTTTCTCGCGTCTTTGCGTATTCCTTAAGGGTACGCGGAGGTTGGAGAAGAGAGCACTTGCTTGCTGGTAGCCTGAGTGGTGCGGTGGGCAGTGAAGCAGAAGGCGAGGCCGCGGAGCACAAACGGCTTTTTGTGTAGACCGGGTGGTGTGCTTTGCGCGGTTGTGCGGCCAAACGGAAAAGAGTCAAGTCCGCACTTGTCGTGCGAGTTTGGTGGTTGCGAGCGGAGTGCAAGCACAGCACTCACTTCCCAACGCCACAACTACCAGGGGACACCCGCGATGACCGATGGCGACACTGGCTTGACTGAGACTGTCGTCAAGGTGTGTGCGAAGAGTTCGCTGCACGGTGAGGCGAGAACTGTGCTGGAACTGCCTACGCCCTAGAAACGTGCGAGGCTCGTTCTGTTAGGGTCGCAGCGGAACGGCCAGCTCGAGGTGATGGTGACGTCGCTGTCGGGTCGACGGTGCGCCGACCAAGGTCCGACAGAGCGAGAGGAGCCTTGAACACCAGGCCAGTGCGACGCGTGGTAAACGAACTGAGGTGATCTGCCCTAAGACCGTCTGGTTAAGCAGCCGCCCCGGCAACGGTTGGTCCAGCCCGCACAAATATCAGCCAATCGGACCAGCGCCCGTATCGTAGTGATAGGCGAGCCGTAAGCCATCAGTGAAAAAGGACCGGTCCATCGCGCAGCTTCTGCGAATCAACACGAAGAGAAAACTCGCCGCCGGAATTCGCCAAGAATGTCGACAGTAAGTTAAATGCAAGCTCACCATTGGCCCGTAAAAGTGGAGGCAACGCCTCGATCGGGGAGACCGTTCGCCATAAAATCCAGACGTCAAGGGGCTCCTCTTTCAATATTCCAAACTACTGTACTCTACCAAACACCCCTGTACCACTACAACACTACCTGTACCTATATTATTTCGAATGGCGCGCTCCGCACTTTTCGGCGCCGTCGTCCTGCTGGCGCTGCTCGCCGTCTACGCCACGGCCTCGCCCATCCTTGTGGTCCCCACCGAGTCCGGTAGCGTCCAGGGCTTCGTACAGAACGACCTGGCCCGCGCCTTCCTCGGCATTCCCTTCGCCAACCCGCCGCAGCGCTTCGGCGTGGCCACCCCCGCGTCGCCCTGGAGCGGCGTCTACAACGCGACCGCGTTCCCCAAGCCGTGCATCCAGTCGTCGACGGCCGGCGTGGAGGACTGCCTCTACCTCAACGTGTTCACCCCCAAGAACGCCAAGGCCGGCGACAAGCTGCCCGTCATGGTGTGGATCCACGGTGGTCGCTACTGGACCGGCCAGACCG